GCATCACATTGAAACATCTTATCAATGGAGTCTTACACTATTTGGGATACTGTTTATTATGATGAACCATGCGTCAAAGTGTCATTAACTTTACATCAGGAATCTATGACACTGCGTCAGTGCGTCAAAGTGTCATTAACTTTACATCAGGAATCTATGACACTGCGTCAGTGCGTCAAATTATCATTGACTTTATGTCAGGATGTTAGGAATCAATTGCTTTATATCAGTGCGTCAGAGTGTCATTAACTTTACGTCAGGAATCAATGACATCGCGTCAGTGTGTCAAATTGTCATTGACTTTACGTTAGGGTGTCAGGAATCAATTGTTTTATGTTAGTGAGTCAGAGTGTCATTAACTTTACGTCAGAAATTAATGACACTGCGTCAGTGTGTCAAATTATCATTGACTTTATGTTAGGGTGGCAGGAATAAATTGTTTTATGTCACTGCGTCAGAGTGTCATTAGAATATGTTTCCACTGTGTATAATCATTTGTCTTTTCTATGCATATACCCTTTTTAATCACCAAGTATCCTATTTTTTTTATTAAATAAAATCAAAAAATTACAATACTGGAAATAATAAATGACAAACATACAACAAAGATAAATATTAATAGCAAACAAGATAAACAAAAAGACTTATCCCTCAACAATTTAATCGTACAAAAAAATCTAATGGTACCATTATTAAGGTCAATGTCTGTACACAAAACCCTTTAATAAATTATCACACTTACCAACAATCTGATAAAGACAATAACACACTGCACGATGTTCTCAGACCAACTTTATCCGCAACTACTCACTTCAACTGTCTCATCTGAAATAAGATAAGTCATTGACAACTTTTATCAAAAATCTCATAAAACAATGACACGTTGCATTATGTCTTAATTTGACCACTCAATAGTATATCAAGAAATATAAAATTAATCTCAACCATTGAACACATTATAAACGATCCTGACCATCCTTTTTTTTCAAGCACCTACTTTACAAATTGTCTATAAAAGACATATCATGTAGTTAACAAACACCACACATTCATTACAAAATATAACATTAACATCTGACACTTTAGATGGAAGACTTTGATATAACAAACATCGACAATTTCACAAATTCTGATCTAGTTGTTATATTTGGAAATGGCCAGATTACCCATAATCACGAAGGTGTGAGCTTTCAGTGTTCATCTCCAAAATTATTTACGATCCCACATGAGTGCACATTCGTGGAGCTGAAACAAAGAATTTGTAATGCTTTAGGCATTGATCATAACACCCAGTTCACTAACTTGTACTATCGCAAATCAAATCACAGTGGTGAGGGTTTAATTATATTTGAAGCTTTTTCTATTTTAACTGATGTTCATGTGGTGCAGATGCTTTCTTGGAAATCTAATTTTTCAGTCTCTTTAATCATTGAAATTTATGTCATCTATCAAAGATCAACATAACAAATTATGACGCTTCTAAACCCTCCAGCCCCAAGCTCTTCATCAAACCCTCAATCCATTACTTCTAGCAAAGCTATAATATATTTTGGGGGACCTATCCAGCATGCCACCATCATGAATTGTCCACATGGTTATGGCCTTATGTTTAAATGTCTTCACCCAATAAGAATGATCATCCAACACAACTGGACTTTCAATCAATTGTTTCAAGATGTAAGTGAGGTACTGGATTATGTAGATAGGAAACAAATTACAATAATCAATTATAGACGACCGATCCGGGTCATCAACCAAAAACTCGTCTATGATTGCATAGAAATAAAAAATCATTCTGATGTGCAACAAATGATCGCACAATGGAAAAAAAATATTTGAACTTCATTCAAGCATTCAACGTACACATAACTGGTGAAAGATTGAATTGTTTGTAGAAACAAAAAAGACATACGACCCCCAACACTTGAAGAAAGACTTCGTGATTGGCATGACAGTAGGTATATTGACCATCATGGAGAGAAAAAATATGCAATAGAAGATCTTTTTTAATTTTTAACCAATTAAATATGTATTTTGTATTTTCTTTTCTGCTTTCCATGTCTGTTTCATTTTATTTTAATTATGAAAGTTTCATTTAGTTGTTGTTTATCTTTTTTTATTTAATTTTTTTATCTATAAATTCATTTCATATTATCTAACAAAAATAATCTTAATGATTTTATTAATTAATTTTGCATACAATAAATTAAAAAATAAAGATATTATCATAAATCAAATTATTTTATTTTTATTAATATAATTTTGCAAACTAATTTATTAATTTAAAAAAATTAATATTTTATTTTCATTAAATATAATTTTATTATTTAATTTATTAATAACTTTAATATTAATATATATATTAATTAAATATTATTAAAATAAATAAAAACATGTTGAGATAAATATTATTAGTTAGGTAAATAAATATTAAAATGGGTGATTGAGATAAATAAATAAAAAATTAGTATATTAAAAAAAAGTCTATCATTGTTTAATACTTTTATTTATTTTATAAAAAATATAAAATTAAATAAATTTTTATTATAATTTTTATTTTATAAAAATATAAAAATTTCTCAACTTTTATTGTAATTTTTATTTTTAACAAAATGTAATATTAAATTACCAAAAAATAATTTCACAATATAATATTAATATCATTTAAAAAAAATCAAAATTTTATTAAATAATATAATAAAAAACAAAAAAATTATTTATTATCATAAATATGTAAAATAAATTTTAATAAACATGTAAAATAAATATTATTATTATTTTTATTCAATTTCACATAATATAAAAATATAAACATAATTTAAATAATAAAACTTATTTTATTATATATAATTAATAAAATATTTATTTCAATAATATATCATAAATATTTATTTTAATAAAATATAAATATAATTAAAATAATAATATTTATTTTATTATATAAAAATATAAAATAAAATTTGAAAATTAAAAAAACTTTACAAAATGCAATTCAGAATTCGGTTCCACTTATATTCAATTGCCGAAATTGTCAACAGTAATTAAGTCTAGATTGGTAAATAAAGTATGTGAGGATTTATTTGAGTATTTTTATTTTTTTTTTATAATATTTTGGTAAAAATTTCAAACAATTAATCATACCTATAACTGATAGTGTTATTTCGTCGTATAACCACACGATCACGATGTCTAGGGACTAGAGAGTAGAGACCTAACCGAGTCTGTATCTTCGATTAACGACAAATAATAATATAATCGTATCCAATATCTTTCCAAATTAAAGTATCTCGGGTTACAGTTAGGTGTTAACCCGAGAAAGCCTAGTGCATGGAAGGGTGTATTAGAGGCTCTTAAAAAGCGGTTAGTGTCATGGAAGCATAGGTATTTATCGATTGGAGGTAGGGTGACTTTGATTAATGTCGTTCTTAATTCTATGTCATTGCACTCGTTATCCTTTTTTAAGGTGCTGAAGTCGGTAATAAAGGAAATTGTCACTATCCAACGGAATTTTTTATGGAAGGGTGTTAAGGATGGATCTAAAATCCCCTGGGTGAAATGGAAAACTGTATGTAGACCGCGGAAGAATGGTGGCTTGGGCATTAGGAATGTGCAGTGGTTTAATTGGGCGCTTCTTGATAAATGGTTGTGGCGAGGTGTTAACTGTTCTAGTTCATTGTGGGTGCGGGTGTTGGAATCTAGATATGGAAGATTAGCTTCTTCCCTTCAGCGTTCATCAGTTCACAATAGATGTTCTTTGTGGTGGCGTGATTTGCTGGAGGTTATTCATCAAGGGAATTCATGGCTGGATGAGAAGTTTGATAGAAGTGTGGGTGTAGGTTTACACACTCTTTTTTGGAGAGATAAGTGGGTAGGAGGGGTGTGATTGTGTGAAGCATTTTCGCGATTATTTGCAGTGGCGAGAAATGCTGAATCACGTGTAGTAGAGAATGGTTTTCATGATGGCACTATATGGGTTTGGAATGTTAGTTGGCGAAGAGAACTCTTTCAACATGAGATCTCGAGCTTTAATCTTTTGTTGGAGCTTGTGGATGAAGTTTCTATTAAGTTACTACAAGAAGATAAATGGGTATAGAGGGCAGATTCTTCAGGTTGTTATTCAGTGCAATCTGCGTATTCATGGCTATTTGAACTTTTTGGTGGTCCTAATAGTGTAGATTAGTGTACGGCAGATGCCTTGCAAAGGCTATGGAGAGGGAAGGTCCCTCTTAAGTGTCTGGTTTTTTCTTGGCAATTGTTGTTGAATGCACTTCCTTGTAAAGGTTTACTGATTGATCGTGGTATTCAAATTGATGATATAACTTGTTGTTTCTGTCATGGTTTGGAGGAACTTCCAACTCATTTATTTTTAACATGCTCAGTTTCATCTCAAATCTGGTACTTTACTGCGCGTTAGCTTGGATTCTCACTGGTTTTGCCTTTAGATTTATCGACTCACTTGCTTTCTTGGGTTGGTGTTGGCTGTAGTAAAAGAGAAGGAATATGCTTATTAATTATTTGGATAAGTACAGTGTGGTCTTTGTGGTTGCATAGAAATAGAATTATATTTTCCAATGGTGTTTTGGATGAGAGGGAAGTCCTAGATTCTATTATTCTGAGATCCTGGAAATGGTTATCACTTGTTAGTAAGGGAGAAACTATTATGTTAGCTGATTGGTATTTGAACCCACGAAATTGCATCTGTCTTAATTTTGCATAAGTATATTTTTGCTTTTTATTTCTCTGAGTAAGTAATTTTTTGTGTATATAAGTTTTGAGTTCCCTTTGAACTCTTTTTAATAAGATTTGTTTTGTCTATAAATATATATATATATATATATATATATATATATATATATATATATATATCTTTCCAAATTCCAAAATTTCTTAGGAATTAAATGTACGTACAAATAAAAATGGCACGGGTTGAGCGTCGGTGACTAGTGTTACAATGGAATGCGAGTGCCATTGTGCTAACGCAATTCAGAATAGTGAATGAAATGGCGGATTCAGGGTCGGTGGACAACCCTTCTCCACCCAGAGTGAGCCCCATGTTTGCTAAAATTAGGCAATTCCAAACCAAATTTATGCACATATACATGTTTTAAAACTTTAGTGGCCAACATTTTCATTCATTCTTTCTCCTTGATGTGAGATATTCACTGTATGAAACTGGATATTTTGCTAATATAGCTTGCCCTGACTTGAAAAGTAAAATATTGAGAACGATGAGAAGGCTTATAAACTTATAATTTTTTTAAAAATCTGTCCAACTTGTTAAAAAGAATAAGAAAGACATTGCCTTGAGGATCAGTTTGCCATATATTAAAAAGAGGGGTGAAATTCTTATGGATGAAATATATACAAAACATTTTATGAAAAACTCATCCCTAACCCCTAGTTTTAAGGTGATAACAATGGACTCTAAATTTTATATGGGTGGCAGAGATTTGACTTTGCAATTGGCTAATTGACCTTGATTCTTCTTCCAAAATAATTGGGCTATATATTAATAACAGGAATTAGATTATGGTATCACATATCAATTTTAAAAGCGAATCAATTTTTACATGAATGGTTTTTTTTATTGGGTTCAAGAAAATAGGCTCTTTTCATACATCGATGTTAATTAGACTTAGTGTATTTGATTCAGCTTATTTTGAAGAAATCATCATTTATTCGCGGCAACATCTTTAGAGAGCTATTGAAAGCTGAACGAATTATTTTTCCTGATAAAAGCTTTCTCAAAGATGAACTTATATTGATAATTTGATATTATACATGCATCTAAATATTAAGATTTATTACTTTACATCATGTCTTGATCTAAATTTTGGAACACTGATCTCCTGGTTTAACCATGAGATGAGAAGCATCAATTTGCATGAAGTATAAAACATTAATTCTATATTAATATGCTCAACTTAAATCTCATTCTAATATTAGTTACATAGATTTGAAGATTTATTTATATTTTACTGATTTCTTTGGTTAGTTTTTAATTTTGGATCAATATGCATATTCTGGTGACGTGTATTTTATTTATTGTTTTGGTATGTTCAGGTGGATGGGAATTTCATTGAAGGGCTTTTGTCTGACAAAAAGAGGGTTGGATACATTTCTATACTCTTCTATGCTTCCTGGCGTCCTTTTTCACATAGAATCGTTCCTGAATTTGAGATTCTTAGTTCCATGTTTCCTCATGTAGAACATGTGGCACTTGAACAATCCTCAGCTTTACCAAGGTTTTGAAGCTATCTCTGCTTCTGTTACTGTTATGTAATTTTATTTGCCTACCTGTGTTTCACGTTCAAAGTTTAGGGTTCATATACAAGTTGCAGTAGTTAGGTGGTAGTTCACTAGCTTGCATGTGGCTAGTTTAATGCCACGAAGTAATGTTAAAGTAGATTATTTTTTCTGCTACTTTGTAATTTGTGCATTGAATTAGTAAAGCTTGGCAGATAACAGATAATCTGGCATTATCAATTCACCAACTTCACAAATGTCTTGATTTGTATGTTCATATATTGTTCCGTGCAGCTTATATTCAAAATATGCAATTCATAGTTTGCCTGCTATCTTATTGGTGAACCAGTCATCAAGGCTGAGATATCATGGTCCCAACAATCTTAACGCCCTTGTAGAATTTTATGAGAGTGACACAGGTAAGCATATCCTAAATCATGTTTGTAAATTTCTGGTGGAATTTCCTACACTACTTTTTTTACCTGATTCTAATTTGATAGCTTGATGATTATTACAAATGATCCTTTGTAGTCCTTTTTCTAATCTCAGAATTTACATAGGAAAATAATGTGTTGAAAACAACGTCCATTTACCTAGTCTCGAGACCTTCCATGACTTATAAATGATAATAACCTTACCATGTCTCAGGATTTGAAGCAAGGGACAACATTGTTGTTGGTGGACTAAGCAACTTGATTATTGATGAACATTCAACTATGAAGTCATTGATGGGCTTCTCTCTCAAAGAAATATCAAGCAGGGAACCTTACTTAGCATTATCTATGTTGTTTCTCGGTCTGAGGATTATTCTGTTTGTGTTTCCTGAGATTATGTTGCGTCTCCAAGCATTCTGGGCATCCTATGTTCCTCGTTTGAACTTGCAAATATTTGGCGAGACAAGCCACATGGTAGGGCGTGTTCTTAACTTAGTTGATGTGAAGAGGGTTTTGACCAAGCTAAGACTCTGCAAGACCAGGAACTTTCATGAAAGGGCAAGGAGTGCCCAAGTTTGGGCATCATCTCTGGCTTCTGTTTCTCTGGGTGAGTCATCTTCATCAGCTAGATGATAATCTCAAATCTCAATGTTTGTACTAACCATGTTGTTATAGTCATTTTGAGGGTAGTGAAGAGTTAATCAGATAATATCTTCAAGTTGCAGTGAAGCTTGGGAACCCGTAACAGTTTCTCTCTCTCTCTCTCTCTCTCTAATTTTGTTATTAGTTAAAGACGTGAAAGTTTATGTTGAATTTTGGGAGAAAGTGAAGGGGTGTGTATATTTGAGAACAGCTTTCCTTTGTAAATTTGTGAGTATAAATGTATACACACATTGTCTACGTTTAATAAAAAGTTTTTTTTTTCGAGTTTTGGAGGAAATATCTATTGAAATTGATTCAGGTATTATACCATACTCCAACTACTAAATTAATATTTGGGTGAAATGACTTGGTACCAAGAAAGGTTCTCATTTTCAAGTTTGTCTCGTGTTACACTGGCATTCTTTTTCAAAACTATGGTACTACTGTATTGTTAAAGACAACACGGATTTATTTTTTGTTGTTCTAAGGGTGCTTACCTTTAGAAGAATCAATGTTGAACTACGGGGTTGTTACTTTCGTAGTATTGTTGGTATATGTATGTGAAAATTTATTGGTCTCACCTTTAAATCAGTTTTATTAATTATAATAGACACTTGTGACTTGTGAGTCACCTTTATTGGAATTGATTTTGCTCTAAGAACAAGTGCATGCTTGGTTCTGCAGTGACTACTTTGGATTATTGAATTAACGTTTATTAATTTTTCAATATGAATTTAAACACACACTAAAGCTTATGGATCTCAAACACCCGCGCCTTAATCATTTTATAAGAACTTCTATTGGGCTGGTTGAATTAACTATGGACGTGAACAGATGTAAAATAAGCAAAGCTATTGGTTTATATGTTTTAGTTTCTGTTGCAAAAATAGGTGGAAAAATGGCAAATCTTTTTCATGTGAATGCTTAATCACTTGACTATGCCCATGGGGTGTTAGCCCTTACGCCATCTATTCAAGCAGAGGTAAGTCCAAATTATGAAACTTGGGCTTTGCTGTAAGAGCTTTCAGTTCTTTAGTCAGCTCTTGCTGCTTCCAGTTTTTTCCACTATGCCAACTCTTCTACTGATTTTTTTTTTTCTTTATTTCTGTAAAACTCTATTTATGTTATGATTGGCTGGTGCCTATGTAAAGTTTGATTGGAGCATGTTTAACTATGCCCTGTTTGGTTTGCATGGAAATTTTAAGGCAAAAAGCCTCCATTAGGAAGTTTAATTATGTACAATTTGTGATCCTTCAAGTTAGGGTGTGAATTCCGCAGTCTCCTCAAAGTTTGGGTTTTGGTGTGAATTCTTCCAACACTTGAATGATAATTTTTTCCCTTAAAACAGCCAAAAAGGATCTATTAAGTAATTATTCATTATTTATATTAATTTTTTTCTTCTACAAGAAGTTATCTAAAAATTCACTCAGAAGGTACAAGTTATATATAATAAGTTTTTTTTAAAAATGATTTACAAACTGATGCAATTTAATGTATTGATATGGTTAAATGATATAATTTTCAATAAAAAATATATATACTACTTATTTATATCTTATTATGTGCGGTGTTGTATAGGTTAAGAAAATCGATTAATTAAATTTCACAGATATAACAGAATATTGTAAAGATCCATGGGAAAAGATATTTCATTAGCGTTTAACCATCACACAGAAACGCAAAATATCTGAATTTCACATCAATACCAAATGCTGGTTATGTTGATAATAAGAGTTTCTAATGTATCAACAAAGATATATGAATCCACAAAATTCCATTTCTTCATGTTTCAATTTTAACCGATGAGGATTAAATCATCCGAATGAAACTCTCAAGTCCTTTTCCATATGAACAAGAGTCATGAATGCAGGTTCATTTTGTTATGCAATTTTTTGTGTTTTCTTCTCTCTCTCTCTCTCTCTCTTCATTTTCTGTCCCTTTTAACATTGTTATCACGTTTATGTTTAATTATTTGACAGCTGTGAATGCGTACAAAGAAGCGGCCAAATAATTTCAATTTCAAACTTTAGGCCATAGTTTTGGCCACTGATTTACAATAGAAAATGACCCACTAACATCTATTTATATTCAGCAGTATCACACTCTACATAATCGTAACATTTTACGCAGCTACACAATCATTGCTAATCAATGTAACTGATAGCTAACACATCCTATCTGCTAAGGAACCAGCTGACATTCACATTAGGGAAGAAGCTACATATTTTTTGTTCAAGGCACCAAGTATAATAAAGAAAACAAATGAATTCATATATTAAATTTAATCAATCATCAAAACATTTTTTTTGTTTTGCTTTTAAAAATAGGTAAATTAAAATTAACAAAAAGAATTAAAAGTTACCCATTTACTTCCAGACTCAGGTTGCATCATTGACTGCATGCTCTCCAAGCAGGTTATCATCATAGGATACAGGTATCCTTAACCTATCATGAACAGAGATAGGCTTTTCTGCAGAAGTTACTGGTTTATGTTGATTTTGAGTTTGGGATGCACAAAAATCACCGTCCGAAATACTGCCCTGATCCCTGCCAACAAATGAAAAGGGCACTACTTGAGAAGAATCCTCTTTCTTTGGCACAAGTCGTTGCTTTACATTTGGCTGCTTGAATTGTTTCTGCATTTTTTTAACAATGATGAGAAAAGACAAAAACAAAAGTAGTTATCACAAAGCAAAGAACAATTTGCCGAGTTGGTTCCTCATAATTAATTACAATTGATAACAGTTGTCCTTTGTAAGGAGAAACCATTGAACGAGAAGTTTTCTTTCTCATCTTATGTTCATTCGACAAAATCTTTCTTTGGTTCATAACACGTTCTTACTACAAACATGCAGTGGGACTGCTGAAATAATACCAATCTTAGTTTTGTGAACAACCACACTAAGGCTTCTTGTTACCCTGCATGTATTTATTTACAAGAGCAGATGATGTTATATTCCACCTCATTCAGTATCATAATTGTTTCACTCCTCTCATGAAATAAATATTATTTCCATATTTGTTGCCCCTTTTATGGGATCCTAGACAGTTGATAAACACCCCCACCAGACACTAAAAATAACCCTTCATTATCACTGCATAAATGGGAGCATAATTACTTTTCCTTTTTAAGACGAGTATCACACTAAAAATTCAAAGGTTAATCACAAACCTCAAATTCCCTTGCTTTTTTCATTATCTCTTTGTAGACCTTTGGTTCCCTAACCTTTAAGATGCTCCACAATATGCCACCCCCTGTACGGAATCGTCTACCATCAGCAGTTTTCTGGCCTCCACAAGCTTGTATTGCATCCACCTGCAAGCTCCACACATCATTATACAAGTTTACAACATATCAACTTGCACAGACTAGAAAATAACAAAAGAGAATAAGAATAAAAATGGGACATTTCAGTCTAAAATTTAAGCAATCATATCTCATCAATACATAATATACAAATAGTGGATATTATCTACTGTGATTCCATCAAAGCATATGACACATGTAACAAATAAGGCTTAACTGTATTTTTTTGTCTTTTACTAATGCATGATTTACTAAAATTTAGTCCTGTAATATTTTTTATTATTACAATCAAGTCTTTCAGTCAGTTTTTCTCTACCTAGAAACCTGAAATCCTCATTTTCTGCTAAAAAAAATTAGGGGTCTAGGATAGACTTGAGATCTTAAATAATTTGAAAGTTTTATAAGCCATAGATTTGGTGAAATTTTGATGAAATTTGAAGTTTATAAGGTTGGCATTTTAAAGAGGGTAAAAATTAAAGTTTTTCTGATATTGGATCATTAAACCTGATGCTTTGATTGGTAGGTTAGACTAGAAGGGAGTTTAGAATAGTTTGACCAGTTTTGTTTGTAAAGATTTAAGTAGAATAGGAGGATTTGTAGGATTTAGGTAGAGGGAGACTAACAAAAAGACTCAAGTGTAGCAATTAAAAAATTAAGGGAACATATCCATTGGATGACCAAAATTAAACACAGTAGAGGAAAAAAGAGTGCTTGTAAACCAAAATATAATGCCAAAGTCACTACATCAAATGGAGAGTAACTGCTCTTCATAGGGTATAATTTTACAAAATTTCAACCAAGAAGTCCCCAGTCCTACTGCTTGATAGTGCAGAAATCCTAACAATCATACAGCTACAGATTCCAGCTAGAGATGCCCAAAAGTCAAAAGCTTTTCCAACAAAAGAAAACTAGAAGTACAGTTAAATACAACTTCCAGTGTGATTATTTCACATTTAAGTTTTAGGGTAAACCCAATTAAACTAAATGCTGGCCTACAATTTATTAAGAGAATGCCTAATAATGCCTAGTATGTTTACATTAAAATCTTAGCTGTAACATCAGTAGTTCTTTCATCAATTAGCTATTAGGTATTATCATTTGATTGAACAAAAATAAAGAAAGATACAATATTAAAAAAGGTCCTGCTAAACGGTACCCTAAGAGCACTGGTTAGCATTTGCCTGTAAAAAACGAGATCATGTTTTAAGTAAATTAATCCTTGTGGCATTGCACTGTACATTTAGAGAGATATTCAAATTTGCTTTGAAATTGTTCATTGCTACATTGAGGGGAACAAAAATGACCAAGGACCTGTTTGTTTTCATTCCTTTATTTTATGGAAAAATGTTTCATAAACCTTAAAACAAGTTATTTTAGATTTTTTGTTCAGAAGCTAAAAAAGTAGTTTCCTAAAAATAAGTTTGAAAGAAGTTATATCATAGAATTGATTTTTTTATGTTTAAACAAATGGGCCCTTAATTAATAATTATCAGTTTCCTCTTCACCAGCCTACCATTGCACAACTTAGTAATTTGATTGTGGGGATGAAAAAAGAAAACATTCTGTACATACGTATTACAATACTTGACAACATGAAGCAAAAAATATGGACATCAACCTTCACTTTAGTAAATAATAAAGGGGTTCAGCCAGGAACACTGAAGCTCAAGCAGAGAGTTGGAAGGAGAAGAAAATCTGCAGTTAGGGACAAAATTGAATACATCAGAAATTATGACTGGCCATATGGTGCTCGAAAGAGTGGATAAGAATAACCAGGTCAAAGCTTGCCCAAATCTTGTAGAACCTTAACTCAACAATAAATGAACAAATAATGTGTACTCCCAACCATAACCACATTCTCGATAAAGAAAGGAAAATAATTCATGAAAAAAAAACTATTTTTATGAAATAGAATGCACATCAAGTAGGAAACTAAGAGTGGAAGCCATTCAACCAGTGAATGAAGCCAAGAATGGTAATATTCAAAAAGTAGCCCTATGACCATGTAAACGTTACAACATTTGTAAGATTAGAACCAATGTTGTGGAAAGTTGCCATCACATGAGGAGTTCAAGCGGCTAAAATAAGACAAACTAGTAAATAAAGATCATTCTAACAACTGTGCATGGTGCCAAAAGCTACACCTCAGAGTAATCCCACCAAACCAACACCAACATAGGCAATCAATCTTTAGGGACAACAAATTCCATATAATTGGGGGGAAAAAGGGAGATTTCACTACTCAGACTTATGAATTCAGTATACGAGGACAGAGACAACTAGTAGAAACTAAGACAAGATGCAATGGTAAGAAATTTACTGAAGGGAGACTGCAAATTCCAGTACAATAATACAATTAAAAGTAAATCCTTTAGCAGAATTTGATGAAAGAAAAAAAAGATAGTTGAGTCAGAAGATCCTATGGGTAGATAAAATCATACCAGTTGTTAAACTCAATCATCAATAGTATCAAAGTCATATGATGCATTAATATTTAGGTAGTTCTTAAATTATTTTCCAATTTCCTAGTGGTCATGGTATTTCACATAAAAAAAAAATTACAGAAATAAAAACAAATACAGTAAGCTTGCTTATTAAACTAACTTGAGTGTATAACAAGGTTTCACTACCTCTTTGATGAGATCACTTAATGCAGAGACCCCAAGGCAACCTACAGCAGTGTATAGCATGTATGACTTTTTCTCTTTCAAACGTCGACATGTATCTAGCACAAATCTGAAAAACACAATTTGTTAGAAATTCAATCGGCGGGCAAGAAAGCTGCTAAAATTTGTTAATGTCACAAACAGAAAAAACCTTATACCCACATTTGGTTTACTATAGGGTGGCGAATTGTATACTATATGACTTAGGATAGCCAAAGAGTAGCAAGCAATGCTTCAAATTCTATTGGGTCAAAATATAAATGAGCTTATTAAGTCATCAGCAATGCTTCAGGGATTTACTATTGGATAAACCATGATTTAAATAACTGCAGAATTGTTATCAAATCAAAAGACAATAAAAAAAATCATAATTAATTATGAATTCAATTATCCTACATAACAAAATGTAAAGAACCACATAAACTAGTAAATATTATACACAACTACAATGTTAGGTCTAATTTCAACTGCAGGGGGGCTTGGTGTTGCTCATTAAGCATCAGGTGGAGCACCACCTCTTTCCCAACTATGGCTTTGCCCTTGGCCTTAGCATCACTTGTACTTTCATTATCTTGAGATCAGGAGAGAAGTTAGTGTCATTCCTTTCACTCAGACCATCCATCTCTTCCTCTAAGTTAAACAGGGAGGAGAGGACAACATGGAAACAAAATGAGACAACACTGTTGCACGAGGTGAAAGGAAACAAAGAAAAACAGCAAAAATGAATGGCCAAAGGGATCAGAACTGCATGTTCCAATTGTTTCTGAGCTGGCGATTTCAGTTTGGGGGAGACTACAAAGCAAAGAGCTTTGAGCAGAAATTGGATATGGGATGTATCCAAACATTGTCTTTTTTGTGGTACCAATGTCATTTATTTGAATGACATTTGTGAATAATGAGTACCATACTCCAATAAAAAATTAATTTCAATGGTTTACTACACTTTAAAACTTAGGCAATATAACTATTGGGAAGAATGTTCAACCTGTTTATATCCACAGGATTAGATCCAGAACTCTTCCTCTTTCTCTTATTCTTCTTCTTGCTACCCCTACGCCTGTGGTTCTTACTATTAGGTTCTTGATTTGCTTCATTGATATTTCCAGCACTGCTTTGTCCAAAAACATTTTGGGAATCAGGCTCTATCAACTCTCCTTCTTCAACATCAACCATGTCAACATCGTCATCCACATCATCGAAGTTATCCTCCTCATTTATGGCATCCAAAATGTTGTCTCCGTCCTCCATTACGAAACCTGCATTCAGAAGCCATTGTCAATAAATAGATGGCGCGCAACACATCCATGGTGGACACATAAGAACACAGTTATGAGAAATAAAATACAGAAACTATAATCTAAACAATAGACATAGAACTATAAACTGAAAAGAAAGTTTTCACATCTAAAAGAGAAAAGCAATATCCATTCAAACCCTAATGGTAGCGCATGTACATTCAAATAGAACGAGCAAGTTAGAAAACTATTGAATTTAAAAATCTGGGGAGCACAGAAGGTTTGTACACAGAAGAGAAATGAAGTTCAATGAATTAGAGTTTACTTACTATGCAAGTGCAGATGCTGAGGAATGAAGTAGTATGAGGTGTGAAGAGTGAGTAAACAACGGTCGCATGGGTTCTCTTGAATGCAAGGGAACAACTAAAATATCGAAAATTATGCATTTACTTGTTATAAAAATAAACGTTAATTTATCTTAATTTAAAGAAATAACGTTTATTTTTATACTAATAAAAATAAACGTTTAATTTATCTAAAGTATCCCTTGCTTCTATGTTACAATGGATATTATACTAATAAATTTGACAATTTAAACTTATTTTAGTTTATTTTTATATTTTAAATTAATTTAAAAGTATACTTTTATCGTAAAAAAACTGTCTATTAAGTTCTATGCATATAATTATTTAAAATGTAACAATTATTTTACATAAATAAAGTAAAAAAATGATTATAATTAATAGAATAGATGGTGCATAAATGAGCAGAAAATTTAGAAGAAGAAAACAAAGAAAAACTTCCAAACCAAAACAGAATAGAGCAAACATTTGTATATGCTTTGCATATGAGTTCAATAGATATAAATTAAATTTATATTTTCAAGTTCATGCTAACAGTTTGTGATACTAATTGTACTTATAATAGTTGTATCGCGAAGTTCCTATTCTGGTAAAACCTAATGTTATTACATGGAAAGCTATTGTAGACTATGACCTCAAGCACTCTCTTCCACCACTAAATGATTCTATCCTTCGAGCAGTTCAAGGTCATTTACTCATTAACATTCACGTTGTTTTGGCCTAAGATTGTAACTGGTTGCTTAAACCTCTTTAATATCTGACTTATAAAATCCTTAACCTGAATTTTGTTAAGCGTGAGTTTTATAAAGTTGGAATTAGTGATTTTGATAACACCTTAAAATATTTGTCTTACAACTAGTAGATCAACCATGAATCCAAACGTGCTATTACACTTACAATCTTAGAACAAGTTATGATTGTTTCCTTCCTATAATCTCTTTAGAAAAATGATGTTGCTGTTCTGATGAATGTTTGTTCCCTTTGGCGGGTTTAAATTGCAGGCTGCTAGAAAAACAACAAAAAATGCTATAAACCTTCCCCATAAGGATAAGCAAGTGAGCAAAGCAGTAATAGCTGCAAACAAGGCTGCCACTGATGCTAGAGTTGCTGCAGTGAAAGCTGTTCAGAACCGAATGGGTGAAAAATTTTGCAATATTAATGTCTAAGAGCTTAGATTTTAGTTAGCTTATGTTTGGAATTGTAAATTTTTACTAGTTATATGTATTTGGAAGAAGATGCCACCTCGGTGAGCAAATGCTCATTGGAGGTTGTAGCGTATGTTTTGATGTTTGTTTCACAATGCAACTTGTATATAAACCAATGTATATCAATGAAAGATGCAAGGAGTTGCAAAGTAACTATTACCTTGCTCTATGAATTGAGAAATATTGAATGACCACCTTTCGCAGAGCAGCGAATCTGATAAGTGTTGGAGGAGCCACTTACATCTATGTGTGAAATCTGCGAATTGAGAATCTGTGGAAATCTATTGCATTAGCCACTTCAATCTTTGTGTGATTTAGAGAAACGGGATTAGGGTTCTTGTAATTTAGAGAAAAAAGACAAAGTTCTTACTCAAAGACAAAGGGGATTAACGTATCGCGTGAAGTATTTCAGGGTCCGGGCCAACCCACCTTGACCCATATATTTTGGATTATATAATTTAGGGCTTAACTATTATTTTTTATTTAACCTAGGGTTAGGGCTGGATGAGTTTTTTCAGGGCTGGGTCTTGGGCTATAACCCTGATTGACAACTCTAATGAAAATGAATGTTACCTTAAAAAGAGTTACACTTGTTGAGCGATTAACTCCTGAAACTAAGGTAACCGAAAGAGAAAAGGAGAAGATTTTTCAATTTCCTGTGAGAAATGAGACAGCAAAGAGAAATCAGATAAGTATAGCCAGCAGAAATGAAAATCAAAACTGAACTAACTGATGCGGCGAAGACTTCAAGGTTGTGATGAGAATCAATTATTTAGTTGTAATTTTGATGAAGTACATTAGTTTCTCTCACCTAAATCTGGTTCTGCTAAAACTCGCGTCCCACGTTGTAGGACAACTGGGAAAGTGTCCGGATTTCAGTTCTGAAGCTTTCAAAATGCAAATCTATTTGTGAAACTCAACTAATAATGACATTTCAATGCTTCTATCCGCAATGATAGCTATTAACACCGGGAAACGATGATCATCTGTGTAATCTAGAATTACCAGACAGTTCCAAAATCCTTCTATTTCTCAAGAGAAATGTATCTGCAAAAGCCCAGAAAACCATGAATAACTTAGCAAAGAGGCCAAAAATGAAACAATGAATGAAGGAAATCTTCAGAACAGAATTCATTCGAAAATTTACAATGAAATTCCGACAGACTCCAGCAACTACCCTTCGAAAGTGCATCTGAAAACAAAAAAGAGACAAAAAAATTTAGGGGAAAAAAATTGAAGTCGATGTAAAAAAAGCTTATCTCTTATCGGGGCCAAAAAGAAAAACAAAAAAGAAGAATCAGAGGCTTTCTTTCTAAATGTTAGACCTCATTCTATCTTGAGAAGTGTCAGATCCTCAACATTAAAGTTTCAGTTATCACAATTAGTCTCGTAAATTGCGGAGCAGAGAGTTATGGAAGATAATGTAGAAGAAGAAGAAAGAGGAGTGTAAAAGAGGAAGCAGGTTCTTCTTGCGATAGAAAGAAATGATGTGTTTCCATCGATGGAGGTGTTTATATACATCTTGTACTACACTCCTTTGCGCCAACCGTTCACTTCCTCAGTTCATGACCGTAGATCAACAATCTCACGCCTTTCCTCAAACCTTTCACGGTCTCCTATTACGAACCCTGTTACGGCGTTCATCTTTGCCCTTTCGCTGTTATTGTTTTCTCTCACGACGTTAACTACATTAACGGAATCTATACAGTCGTCAGATCCCAATTATATTATTATCAAGTTAAGTGCCTCCCTATTTCTTATATATTTGAATAATTCTGGATTAAGCAGAGTTTATAAAAATATATGCAGTATTATATAATAGAATATTAAAATATATATGTATTTTTAAAAATTTTAAATAGAGCTGTCAAAAAGCCCAATTATCTCAGCCCTAGTCCTAATCCATGTGGCTTAGGGTCAAAAATTCTTATGGGCCAAAAAGTCCCATAAATCAAAAACTCTATGAGTCAAAAAGTCCTGTGGGTCAAGGTAGTCAGGGCTTCAAGGGCCAAAAAAAATTCCAGCAATTGTAAGTTTTCAACTCAAATTTAATTTCATAATTAACTATCAATCATTAGTGCAATAACAGCAAAATAAAACATCAATCCATCTATAAACAATGGTGGAATAAAATAAGTTAACAGTCAGTAACATAATTTCTATAAACAATCTAGATTTACATAAACCCATCTATAAAATTTTCAAATTATAAATGAGTAAAATGGTTGTTCTAAATCTGACATTCAGCAGAAAACTTACTGGATAGTTTGATAAGATCTTTTGCTTGTATTTCTTGTGCTTTCAAATCTGCTCAAACCAACATAGAATAACAAAAACTCAGCAAATTGAACAACAAAATCAAGTCGAAGGCAAAATACCAGGGAAAAAAAAAAGAAGCATCATCTTCACAGACAGTAAATATTGGGCTCGTTAATCATCACCTTCTTTTGGCTAACAAGTGATTTTTGAAATATCAGTAACTAAATAACATATGATATGAAATATACTTGCAAACATATTAATCTGCTATTTTATTTTTATTCAGAGGATCGATGATTTTTATACTTTCAAGTTACTACTTATTATTCATGATTAACTACATTCTAGGATAAGATTTATATCTTGGAGTGATCAAATCCAACAGTGGTTTAATGGTATCCAAAACTGTAATCACTATAATATATCAGAGGGAAAAAAATATTGCATCAGAAAGCAAGACTAAGATCTTAATATATCTAGGGAAGGGTTAGTGGTATCCAACCATAATTTTCAAACAATGCATGATTAAGATAATTTCTTTTGAAGGCTACAGTCGCCACAAAGTATGTTGCGAGAAGAGAAGACAGACCTGGGCATAGTAATCTTTCCAAACTCTGCGAGCAATCTGATGACCCCCAAGATCAAATGCTTTAAACTTGATCTTCCCAATACTTAACTCCTCTGATGTAGTGTACTGTGTGGGCTGATGCTGGACCAGTCTCTGCAAAACCAACTCTTATAATAAAAAACATCATATTACAGTAATTTCAGGAAGCTCTGGACTAATAAGTCACGTTTGCAGTAAATATTTCTTGATTGCCAAAACCACAAAAGCATGGATGGGAGGAAAATAGAGGAATCCAACAAAAATTTAAACAATCATTTGATGTCAACCGAAAAGCAGAAGACCGAAACATGTTAGTATAGAAGATCATAACCAATTATGCACAGCGCAGGTTGAAGTAAGGAAGCTATGTAGTTGAATAGCATGTTTACGTCAAGCCATGAGCTTCACTAGGTGGAAACAGAGAAATCCAGCAGCACTGAAGAAAAGTGGTATTTTTGTAACCTCAGCTAATAGCAAACAAATTATGCTGATTTGAGTATCCAATTAACACTATGCTAACTTTCTCATTAATAGCATTCAGAAAGAAATAAAACGCACAATTGTTTCGTATCATATACCGCTACTCTTATGAGCAAACAGTGAGAATAAAAATATAACTCTTTCCTAAAACATTTTTCAACTAACAAAGTAGCATTCTCAATAAAGATAGTAAGGTCAGAGATCTACCACTACTGGGGAACAAACAAACAAACCATAATACTATATTAATAACGTGTATTTTATCTTAAAAAAAAATTTCTACCCCTCCTTAATTTTGTGCAAAACCTAAAACTCCCACCTTTTCTTTTCATGCATTGCTATTTGCTAATGTCACAAAAAAGAGAACTTTAACATTCTTCAAAACAGAATAAGAACACGCTTTGAACAAAAAAATGTTTAAGCAAACAAAAAAGATTGAAACCTGGGCAGTTGATGAGGAAGAAGAAGATTAAATGTGGGGAGATTGAGAGCGAAAGGTGTAGCTAATCTGAATGTAGAACAGTTTCTGCAGTCGAATTCAATGCCAAATTCAAGAGAGGAAATATTGAATTCTAATTGAGATAAAAAGGGATTTAGGTAACCTCGATGAAGACGGTGAGTGATTGCATCGAAGAAAGTGTCAGGGTTGAGAATGTTGAAAAAATTAGAATTAAAGTATTTGAGAGTATTTTTTGGGTCAGACCAACCCATGGGTATCCGGCCCATAATATATGGACTAAATAATTTGGGTCAAATTAAATTATTTTAATTACTATTAAAATAAGATTTAATAAATTATTTTAGAGTTGGATACGATCCAACCTAATCCTAGGGCTTTAGCTCTAATTTTAAAGATAAACCTTAATTAAAATTTTTCTCTGTTTTTGCTTTTTCTCTTTCAAGTTCATCTCATTCCCGCGCCAAGAAATGATATTTATGGGACTAGGTCAGGTCAAGGTATGAGAAGTTAACCAGAGTTAGTTAACCTGGTCCTTAGGTTGGTTTTATTCTAAACCAACCAAAGCATCGATTATCTACGACTTGGAAAGTGGTAACTGTGAATTTGGTTTCATTGACAGTTCTGTTTGTGAAGATCCTCAGTTTCGTATGTCGTAAAAATAAAACCTAAATTCAATTACTTGAATCTAGTACCTACGGATTGATCAAATGCCGAATTTAGATTTCTATAAATTTCATAAATCTATTTTTTTATCTAACATTTAAATAAATATTTAAACCTTCAATGTTTCTTAAATAAAATACATTAAAATAGCTTGCTTAAATCCCGTTTTATTCTTATACTTTTAAAATTTTTAAATTAGTATTTAGTGGCTAACGTCGGAGTAGACTTCATCAGTAGATGTTTTGTTATTTGCGTGCTATTCTATATAGTAACCTGCAATTATAGATTTGAAAATATATTTTACTAAGTACATTAAAGCATTGACATACAAACACGACATTGTGCCTTGTCATATTATAAGTTCCAAGGGCCCTTATGATGGCTGTTCCACTCTCTCTCCTCAAGTAAAATGCCTTCGTTACAGCTTCTATTTTGCACGAAGTTACAATGTAAAGAGGCACCCCCCAGCGTCCCATTTGTATTTACAAAGTCTGTGTAAGAAATCATGACCAAAGTACAGCAAATAAATTTCAAACAACGATTAAGCCTAATGCCACAATGATTATACGTCGGGTCTTTAATGGAGCGCATTTTAGGAATTATGCACTGAAACCGCTGTGCAGAGAACTCCAGGGAGTTGCAGGAATATTGACGCAGGCTTGTGCTGAGGCCTCAGCCATTTGGTCTTTCTGTATTCCAGCGTTGCAGAAGTTTGCAAAGGACCTCATATGCTTCATCCCATACTGAGACAGGGATCTACAATGTGTCTCAAAAGTCCTAACCTGCAAAAACAATAGATTAAGACACAACGTACACTCACAAATCAAAAGCTTTACTGCAATCTCGAAATGAATGTTAATTTCTGGTTCAAATACAACATCATTTATTGGAAGAATAAACTGTAGGAGGCTTTGTTGACATCTCACTGCAAATATGTGAAGTAGAGGATTAGTAGCGAACAGAAAAGCAATGATTCGATCATATTCTAGACAAATTCTAAGATGCACCATTCTTGAATTGGTGCATCGATCACCCAGGACCGGAGCTAGGCACTTTTTTTTTTTAAGGGACAAATATAAAGATTAAAATTAAAATATACTGACCAATTTCTTTTTTTAGTTACAAGTATTTTTTATGAAAGATAATTTTATTCAAACTAAAAGTCTGCATTATGGTACTATTTTTCTTAACGAAAAATTTTCTGCACATAAAACTCAAATTTAAGACTTTATTTACGAGTAATAATTTTTTTTAATTTTTGTCTAGTATTTTGTCTTTCCAAATATAACAGAAAATGAGAAAATTATTATTATAACTTGAACTTTAGTAGTCTATTTAAATTCTCATATATCAAAATAAACTCGACTCTCTTTTTTCCCCTATAAAAATATAACTCACAAAACAATTTGAACAACTTAGATAAAAGTTGAGCTGATCCCAATTACTTGATTTGCATAATTTGAAGGAAAGAAAAATAAGAATAACCTTGGTCAATTTGAATCTATCTTGTACCTTACCATTTTGAATTAAAATTAGCATCATATCCAAGTAAGACCAAAAGTGAGTCAAGTAGAAATAAGCATGATGGGCTAAATTTTTCTGCATAATCAATTTCTAATAAATTAAGCTATAAACAATGTCAACGGCAGGCTTAATCAAGTCTTAGATGGTGGATATTTAGAATTTTATTAGTGTCTAATTTTATTTTACGACTCTACCATAATAAGAAATTTCATCTCGTGTAACACATTTGGCATTTGCAACATGATAGCATAGGGTCATCAGATGTGTGACAATTGCCTCTTCATAATCACCTAAATTTTTTACCTTCTATCACCAATTGTGGATGCCTTTTCATGCCAAATTAATGACTATAACGTGAATGATGAATGCAACCTCAGTTCTAGGGTGCATATTAGAAAGAGTTTCATATTCTTTCAGCAACAGAGAATGACTCAATGAAGGGAATCATGGGAAATGGTACCAGTGTTTTAAGGCAGTCCCAGTCATCAACAAGGGGATGCCCAGCAGGTCTAACACTCCTTAGCACTTCTGGAGCCTTTTCAATGCCAAATAAGAGCTTTCCAATAAGTTTCACACTGTTGTCTATATGCATTCTGTGAGACATTGCTTCCAGAACCTGTTTCTCAGCTGCAGCTTTCCTAGCAGAACCCTCAGGAGCTTTGCGGAACTGGCAAAGCAGTAAAAGGATGTCAAGAGAATAGAGTATAATACTAATAAACAAAAATAATGGCTTCAAGAAGAAAATAAACAACAGTGACAAACACCCATGTTTCCTTGTAGTTTTAGAATTACATTAATGACACTTACCAACATTTCAAGAAATAAAGAACTACTGACCACTCACTCATCTTGCATAAAGGCATGGGATTCACACAACTTTAAAATTTAATTCTATTACTATCTCTTGAAAGATTACTTATTTAGCTAGTTAAAGACCTGCTGGGTTCAAATAGCTACAATATCTGGTTAATGGAATTCAATACATAAACTCTTATGGCACATTTGGTACAAGGTATGTGTGTTTCCATGGAATCCCAGTCTAAAGCCTGGCAACTTCAATAATGAGATGGCATTCAATTGTTTCATAAATGGAATGGAATCAATGGGAATTCTTATTGCATACCATTCTACAAACCAAACATGATGCTACACTTAAACTCTCAATACCAAATGGTGAATAGTAAGGCATGTTCCCATTATCATATATCCTCACTGCATGACTAATTTCAGCAATATTTTATTAGGATTGTTGTTCTCTTTAATAAGAAAAATCTCCCAGCTATGAATCTATACAACCCAAGATTTAAATTTTGGGAACAAGCAATTATTTCATACAATAAAGTAAAACCACATTTCAAACATGATACCTTATCCCAGAAATGGACGAGATCTGCATCACGTTGGTTGACTGCCTTTGAAGGTGGCACCAATGAGTTTTTATCCACAAAAGTAAAATTATCATTAGCAGGATTTGTACCCAAATATAGGAAGAGATTATTCTTGCTAAGCTCTATGTCACCATACTGCATCACGTGGGAACCATAGAGTGAATTCCCATTGGGAGTCCTGTCTTTGACCTGTGAGCATATGTTTAAGACAACATCTATCACACATTTGAAAAATTCTCAACCTCGAATGACCCATCAAATCAAAACAGAAAAAAAAATAAAATTCCATGTATGTCAAATAACATTTTTCAGTTTATACCGATTGATTAAGTAAACAAAATTAGCAACAGGATCTTACCAATTCATATTGTTGATGTAGAGTTTCTGTTCCCAAATTGTGTATGTCACTGTTCAAGAGTTTTTTTTTTTTTTTTTGGGGAGGGGGGGGGGGAATCAGTACATAATGACCTTACATTAATCATAAAAAAAATGTTAAGGGCAAGAAAAAAAGGCATAATTTTTGCATCCAATATATCTATTTTATGGCTTGATATACTTTTATAATCATTTAAGATCGAGTACCAAATAATACAAGGTAACACGTTTCCTTTTTACACTCATGCAATCCTACCTGTCTTCCATCCAAGCAACACTGTACAGGTCACCCAGGCAGGTTTCATATTCTGGGGGAGGACTAGGAGACTCCCCAGGACAATACGTTCCCCAACTGCTTTCTTCTGCATTTGAAGCTGTTGTAGCATAGATATTCAGACCTTCAGGAAGAAGACCTTCAAAGATACTCCCAGATTCACATGCCTCTAGATAAAATACCTGCAACATTGTTACATAAATTGTAAATATTAAGAATTAGTAAATAAATAGTTTGAATGAAGGCTGATAAAAACATTAAGCAAATGATGATTACTAGTAACTTACTAGGCTTTTATATGTTCCAGAAGCATGCTTTTTCTTTAAGACTTCTATCAGATCAGATGCATACATGTACGGATTAGTAGGCATCCCTGAAATTCAAAACGAAAGTTACTAGAAGAATTACCAATAATTGTAATATAATCGTTTTAGTGATCCACACAAAATGGATATTGAGGACTGACACTGAAGACCATGTATTCCCACTTCACTTTCCCTCTCTTTCTCTTCTGTTCCCTTTTTTTCCCCTACTCTTTTTTTGGTGAGGGAGGAACTTCTTACCCTTCACACTACCCACATATGGAAGAAGTAATAAAGTACTGAATAAACAGAAATAAGGCTTTAATTAGAACATTTTGTGAAGCTATTGTTGTTAAAAAATGGTTGCATCAAACATGATCAAGGTATAATATAACTATTTGATGAATATATGTTTAGAAAATAAGATAATATAGCATGAAATCAACCCACAAATATGTTCACTATTCAACTATGTGGTATAATACTAAGATGCTTATTTAAACAACAACCCAAGGCTGGTAAGAAATTTTAAAGATGTCAATTGTCATTCTTAAACCATTATCCTAACATCACTTAAGAGTTTAATGTTTTCAGCTTATTGTGCTTATCTTGACGGTTAAAGAGAGTTTTAACTTAGAATGTATACAATCACAGAAGTTCCAGTTTGTGGAAACTATGTTATAGGTGATGCAAAAATTTCTAAGCAGCCTTTATTCTACTCCAACACAATCCAGCAAAAACACACATAATCAACCCACCGAAGAAAAAGGAAACATATATTTGCCAAATTACTGCAAATATTTTCTAATAAAAGAAGGCTCGTATCATGCCGAAATGCATACAAACAAAATACACAATTAATGATTTTCATTAGAAAGTTCCTGCGAAAGGATTCAGAACTACTAACCAAGCACTCCTGGATCCCCATGTTCAGAGTAGTATATAAATATATGATCATTTGGACCACTATCCACAACCTTCCCACTGCCACCAGTAAGAGCTGACTTATTTCCAAGTATAGCAGCAAAAAAGTTGTTAACAGTAACATGTTCACCAACGTAATCCTGCCATAACAAACTCCATATTACAAGACTATAAAGCCTCAATTAGAAGCAGGATATGGGATACCTAAACTAAAAGTAAGATAACAGACCTTCGGGACTCCTTTGTAAACATCATTTCCATGTGGGCTGTTAATGATGACTCCAGGCCAGGGGTTCTCTTCGTTATAAGCAACGTCATCATACATAAATACAATAATGTTTTTTTCTTTTAGGCCTCCTTTCCTCAGTAGTTGATACGCATGACAAACATCAGACTGATGAAATGACAAAAGCTCATCAGCCATTGTTAAAATTAGGCTAAATTATAATTTTTTCTGTCAGTAAACCCCACATGGGACAAAGTGATAAAAAAAAGAAAAGAAAAGAAAAGTAGCACTGGAACTAATTGCTGGTGACTATTTCTTTGAATACTCTAAAGTCGGCGTGCAAGTTCCCATTATGATCAAGTGCAAAAAATCCCTTCTTCATATGTGTTATTACTGTTGTATACTGTTGAGGTTGAAATGAGTAAAACGAAGGCAAAAAAGACCAGGTATACAATGCTATCGAAAGCTTCAACTATGTATAGCTTGCAGATCAAAATCAGCAAGCAGTTCCTAATTCTTCTAAATGACATGATTCCTGAATGCCATGATCATTTTTGGTGACAAGAACAAGACAAATGCCAAGATTGAACCAAAGAACATCTTAATAAAATATCTAGCTGGGTCATGATCATCTTCAGAGGGGCTAGTTGGTGCATACACTGCTCTTGCCGATGGGAGAGCTTCTATTACCGCATCTGCCAAATCTGTAATAAAGGAAGGATTAACACCAAGGGCAGGGACACGACCCCAATTCTTGATGCCAGATTCAAGGGCCAATTCCTTGTACTCCATGTCAATTTCTTCAAGGGTCTCAATATGCTCACTCACAAAACTGGGTACAAGAAGACAAGATTAGTTCCATTCTCAAGGATGTTTACAACTTTCAACAGTTCAGTAACGAGTAACAAATTGGAATATCCATATGCTACTGTCTAGAATTTAAATCATCAAGAGTGGAAGAACAGTAATAATGTACCTCACTGGAACAGCTAAAAGACTCCTCACACCTTTTTGGCCAAGCTCAACAAGAACTTCATCTGTATGCGGTTTCAGCCACTGTACAGGACCCACTCGACTCTGGAAATTCAGCCAACAAAAACAAATGATATGAGAAAAATAAAACATCATAGAAAGCAAGAATACAAACTAGCAATTAAACATGAAGTCTCCATTTAACTCAAGATGTCAGAAAAGCATGTTGAAAACAAAACTGATAAGCAAGAGTGTGCTCATTTCTAATTCCTCTAGCTTTCAACTCTTTCATGATCAAGAAGATGCACTCCTCCATTTGATCTCGGTATGGATCACCAGCATCCTCAACGTAGCTGACTGGAACACCATGGGCACTGAAAAATATCATTACCTGATATAGAGAAAAAAAAAAAAAAAAAGATATGCCATGGTTCAGATTGCAGTAAAATACATCACGATGACTTCATTTAATGTGAGAATCATGTAGAAAACATTCAATACAAGATATAAATACACCACCTTAGGTTCAGAAAAACTCTCGAGCTCTTTCTCAATTAAGTCAGCCATTGACTTAATATAACCTTTTCGTTGATACCATGAGTTTATAATGGAAACAGGAAGCCTACACAAATATGCATCTTCCCTGACAAATAAATAACATTAGTTAATAAAAATCTTTGAATACTAAAGATCATTCACAAAGAGCCAATAAAGTAGTAACTGAAAATATGCTGGATAACACGGATGCTTGACCCAGTTGTCGATATAGTAAACTGAGGATAAAAGGGTAGTACCACAAGCCTTGTTATCCCATCCCTCTTAATCTATCACACAAGACAAGCTTTTCATTTTAGACTCAACTCTAAGGTGATATAATGGAGCTAAGAATAAATAATCTAACTCATGATTAATCTTCCTGTATATCATTTAATTGTGAAATGAAAGCATAGATGTCAGACGAGAATAATGCAGAATGGTTACACTTGACCAAATAGTATGAGAACTTACTTGCTCAACTGCTTCTTCAGTGAACGGGTACCAGTACCGCATCCCAACATAGACATTTGAAGAGAGGCCCTTTGCTTCCAAAGCCATTTTAAGTGCAAGTGCCTGCACAAGCAATAGAATCCAGAAATGCATTGTTAGTTCCAGCCTAAACCACCAATATACAGAACGTTTTTTAGTATAACAGGGAAAATCCAAAACAGCATTACTCTTAAGAAAAACAAGAGCACCACCCAGCATACAATGGGAAAACCAAAAGATTTGAAGTGCACCTGATCATCTGTAATTTTGCGTAAAGGAGAGCCACCACCAATAGCAGCATACCCTTCCTTGGATTTAGGAGCCCGAAGTACAGAAATTAATTTTGCCAATGGTCGCTGGAGAAACCGAAACAACCTCGGGAGACGAATGATATCCTGTCTCAATACAAAAAAATATAAGAATACAAATTATAAGAAGGGGGTACTAATGCTTGGAATTCATGCAAACAGGGGGAAAAAAGTATAAAAAGCACAAAAACAAACCAACATACAGGATTGGCAAAAAGATTAAATAGAAAAGGTTTAACATCATTCAAAGTCTCCGGTCCTCCTAGATTGAGAAGCAGCACGCCAGCTTCTTCTTCAACAGCATGGGAAGGAGATTCTAAAGCAGTCAGATCATACACACTCGTGTCCACGGAATATGATGTTGGACCAACTAAGCTTCTCTTGCCAGAGGGATTCAAACAAAATGGTCCCCCAAGCTTTCCATTTTTTCTATTGGTGGAGCTAGAACACAAAAACAAAGATGCTTGAGAAGTTGACTTGCAACAATCCGAATGGCAAGTGACATAGGTAGAACTTCGGATATCAGAACATGACCTGGCACTAAAGAAAGCAATTTTGGTTGGCATTAGCATTCTCCACCCATCAGTGTCAAATCCAAAACAAGTGTTTGCAGCTGGTAGATAATCACAAAATAGAATAATGATATATTATGCCAAAGTCTATAATTCCACAATTCCACTTCATAACAGAAGCATTACCCAATAACTTTCATAACTGTCAAAAACTCGCAACAATAGGTAAAACCGAGTGTTTCTTAATCCTATATTTACTTTACGCGACAGTAAAACCATAAATAATCTATATGATCGCGCCTATACCAAAACCTACATGGTGCGACTCAAGCGGCGAAATTCATTAATAAACCATAGTAACCAACTGGAAAGTCGAATCGAGAAATGAAAGATAGAAAGAGACACATAAATGAATAGGTTTGGTAAAGGTTTTAGGAAATCGGCGTAAAATCGATGAAATTAAGAAACTAAAGAATGGGAATGCGAGAAGGAGAAAAGTTGATGAGAGCTTACGGTGAGGATTTAGGAAAGGACGAAGGAAGAGGAGACGAGGAAATCGCTTTCATGGGGAACAATCTCAAGCTCGGGATCCAAACCCCAAAAGCGTATGGGCGAAGAAAGTTGAATGAATGGAAACGTGATTCTGAGGTGAACGTATTATATATTATTTATTGTAAGTTTGGTTTGGTTGGCGAAGTTGAATTGGAAGTTGAAGTTGAAGCCAAATCAACTCATAAGTCAAATACCAAACCGAGAATCAGTCCGTGCTCCCCTTATAATGAAAGCAACGTTTACGTGTTGTTCCAAATTCTGAGGTGTTCTGTTCTCTGTGTTTTGTTCAACAAATGTCCTTGAGAATCCCAATTTTTTCACCATGCCTTGTGTCCCTCCCTGCATTTCACAGTTTTTGGATCTTTCTTCCTTTCACAGTTTGTGAGGCCTGATTTGGTTTGAGACTAAAACCAGCAACGCATAGAGTGAAGGAAGCCGATTCCATGTTTAGTGATGTAATTGATTGGAGGTTCTAAGTATTTGAAAAGACGAGAGTCTCGCATTTGAGTAGAGTCTTCCAAGACCAGTTCAATTGATTCCTTTATGTTTTTATCCCGACGTTGTGTTAGCTGTCAAAACATTCAAGTTCTTTTTCCATGTGCAAAATTGAATCTTAAGATTATATATCTCAGCCTAAAGAATTTCATACTCTTCGGTTCTCCCTCTCGTAATTGTCATCGTCCAATTTTGTCTTGACGCATGCTCACGGCGCACAATTCCCATGGCTAGTCGGAAATCGTGGGCCGTCCGATGCACATCCTGTTATCTTTTACCTCGTTCGTTTGACTATAGTACACATAATATGATGTAACCTAAGTTAAAAATCGGAGTGTGAGTAATGACTATGTCCCGTGGTTGTTGTTGTGGAAGGCAATTTAAGTTTCAGTTTCAATTTGTCAGATGAAAATGTGTTAATATTTTTAATAATTATTGGGTTAATTTATCTTTTCGATGATGATGATGGCAGGCACGGGTGCTAGAAGGGAAGGGCAAGGAGATGGAGAAAGAGTCAGTTATTCGGAGCAACAACAACATATGTAGCGTTAGAGAGAAAAGTGGAGGGGATGGGTCGTTGCTGTTGAGGGGGAGTTCAGAAAGCACTAGGCAAACAACGACGTCGGATTTGGTGCTGCAGTGGGGAAGCCGGAAGCGGTTAAGGTGCATGAAGGTGCAGGTCAAGGATGACTCTTCCAGCCCGGTTCAGAGGACTACGGTTCGGGTCGTTTGAACCGATAAGGATTCTTTAAATAAGCCCATGTTTGCTCTCAATAATAACAACATTGGACACACTCACAATAATAATAATAGTAACGGGTATCCAAATCTCCGTCAACGACCATCTTCGCCGCAACAACGATATTTTTTTTTCTGCTTTAGACGAATGAATGAAATTTGGTTTGATGTTTTTATTTTTGTTTTTTAATTTTTTTTATTCCTTCTAATTGAGAGAGATGAGAGCGGATACCCCTCGGGTTCAGATCTGAGACGAGGGTAATTTGGCTGTATGGCAATTGGCAATATTCTGGACTTTATACAAAAATAGGAGGAAAATACGATATTTTTGTTTTGTCTTTAAAAAAAATTAAAATCGTTACTTAAAATTAACCCTTGATCTTCTTTTCTTTCTTTTTCTTTTCGCTTGTTGAGTATCCATACTTATCCGTTCGTGTTGGTGGCACACTGCTGCGGGGGCCAGCGTTTTGTTTGATTTTTTTTATTTGGTTAAATTAAATAAATAAAATAGAGTTAGGGCTGCGGTCGTGTATTTTCAGCAAATGATGAAGAATTCTTTGTTCTTATCTACGAAGTTTTTTCATTATAAAATTTAGTGTGAATATAATTTCCGACCCAGCACATGGTTTGTGTCAAAGATCTGATGAACTTGTTGGAAGTAATATTTTCGTGTGTGAAAATAGTGGTGGTTTCTTGGTGCAATAGAAACAAAAGTAGCATAGAAGAAGCATAGCGTGCCCATGGCCATGAGTTGAAAGTGTAGTGGCTAGTAGTGGGGCAAATGTGTGGAACTAGCCATGCCCATATTTGGCAGCGCCTTTGAATTTGTTCAGCCCCATGTCTGCCACAAAAGTTTGTTCCGGGCCGGCCATATGCCGATGAAGGCAACTTGCAAGTCTCATATCTTTGGCAACGAATCTTTAACTTAAAATGTACTGTATATAAAATATTAAACATGGCACCAGTTCAGTGATTTTTAAAAAAACCCATCTGGGCTGAATATATGAGCCTCATATTCTGTCCACTCTCCAAATTGGTCAGGTCCTTGCAGATGTCTCATCCAAATTAAAGAACAATGACGAGGAACTCACGGTAAGTGCGTGAGATCCCCTTCTTTACTTCCCTCAATTTATTTGTAATCATCACAAGTAGGTAATGGGATATTAGTATTGGCTTGTGTTTGGGTTAATGCATGATATTTAGGCACAAATAAAAACAGACTTGTAGAAGGATCTTCCCTAAATCCTGATTGGATCTAGTTTAAAAAAAATTAAAAAGAAAATAGTCCATGGCCGTGTTGCTTTACGTGTTAGCTTAGAATCATTGGACTAGCAAGTTTGATAATTTAAATTAGATTAGTATCAAAATCCAAACCTTCCTGCTTTGCTTCTAACGGATGGCAGGGAATTTAAGATTTCTTAAGAGGTTTAGGTTTATGTTCGTGATTCCTTGCCATTGTCATTTTTTCTTTCAATTTCTATATATATTTGGTGTGTTTTTCTATCTATAAAATCAGTCTGGAAGATGCGAAAATAATTTACTTTCAATCTTCGTCTGGTATCTTATTTATTGTGAAAATTAACTTGATGCCTTTTTTTACTGTTTACAATTGTTATTCATGTGATGGCATTCATATCAAGATCAACAAATCCTTGAATTTTTAGAAAGGAAAAAGAAAAAGTAAGGAGTAGCTTATTCAATATTCCCTCTTCCTCCGCCCCACTACTAGATCAGGAACCCAATTGCAGTTTCTGGATCTACATCTAGGATGCGGAACCAGAACCACCTCATAATTTCATATTATCAATTAATGCTACACTTTGTTTGGAAACATGGAATCGAGGGTCTCCTTCCACGTGTTCACTAAAAGTCGTTTTCCATTACGGCCGTCGGATGGAGCACCAGGTCATAGATCGGGTCCCTCTCATTCAACGTTTCAACACTTAGCAATCCTTCATCTTCATTAGCCAATAAAGCTCTCTCTACATCCGACGGCTTCAAACATGCCATGGAACCAGCTTATGGGGAATCACACACAGACCTTCTCTTAGAGCTGTCAAAAAGCTCAATTGACCCTAGTCCTAACCCCGTGTGGTTGGGACCAAAAAGTTCCATAAATCAAAAGTTTTATAGGTCAAAAAATTTTAACAATTACAAATTTTCAATTTAAATTTAATTTTATGATTAACTATTAATTATTAATGTAATATCAGTAAAATAAAACATCAGTCTATCTATAAATAATGGTGGAATAAGTTTAACAGCAAAATTTTAGTAAATTTAATTTCTAACATTAGTGTTGTAATATAACTTCTACAAACAATTTATATTTGCATAAATCCATCTATAACCAAAGAACATTAGTCCAACTACAAACAAAACTAATTTCAAGGACTCTTTTATCTTTTCAACACAAGTAAGAAGCAGATAACAGCTAAATATACAGCTACTGTGCAGGACTCTTCATTATCTATTGTAAAACAATGTTGAACACATTAAAATTGTCAAGTGTCAATTCATCCTGTTATTTTTTCTTTGAAAGAAATAGAAAAAAGGTGATAAAGCAGTTCGTAGAAAATAAAACTCGACACATTAATTCTTAATAGATTCATATTTCACCTGCTTGTTAGTCTTCAATATCTTGTTGCATACTAGACTTTAATGTTTTTATCTCATCATCTTCTAAAACTCAAAAGCAATAAAAATAGAATTATGCTTGTACAAATTATATAATAATCATAAAAGGTGATTAGAATAAATATTACCTCTTAGACTTTCAACAAAATCATGCAACTAATTCTTAGTACAAATTAACATTTGCACATTTTCTGAAAGAGTAGAGCTTCTATATTTAGTGATAACACGTCCACCAATGCTAAAAGCAGATTTTAATGCTACTGTAGTGATTGGAATGCTAAGCACATCTCGTGCTAATATAGAGAATATTGAAAATCTCTTTTCATTATTCTTCCAATAATGAAGCACATTAGATTCTTCAGTATAATCATAATCAACTTGTGACTCATCCAAATACAAAATCCAATTCACTTTTACCAATGGTAGACTTAATTTTATTTTGAAACATTTTAAACTCCTGCAAAATATAACATATTAACCCTTTAAACAAAATAAAAATAAGAAACATATCATAATTAAAATGACATAAAAGAATATACATTGAACAATCTTTATTTTTTGACTTATTTCTATCTCCACGTGACTTTAACAACAAATTGGATTCATTGGAAGGTTGAGAACCACTTATAACATTAAAATTGTTTGCATATTTTTCATAAAATTTATCAAACTTATCCTTCGCATTGTTGACCTTCTCGTGAGAGGTTAAAAGATCAAGCTTGGTGTAGCAAAATCTTAAAAAATCAAGCTTTAAATGAGGATCAAGAATAGCTCCAAAAGCTAACAACACACAATAATTCTTCCGATATTTTTCAAATTTTCCTTTCATTTTTGCAGTCATATCTTTTATAACATCATCCTCGTTCAATAAATATTCATTTAACAAGCATTCAATCTTCCAAACTTGTATAAAATACAAGTTTGAAGACAGATAACAAGAACTAGAAATCATATTTGTAGTCTCATAAAATGGCTCTAACAATTCACATAATTTCTCTCATTTCCTCATATCATGGACAATATTTATAATTCCTATCAACCACCTGAAGAATATCAAAAGTTTTTTTATACTTGATTGCACTCTCAAGCATTAAGTATGTCGAATTCTACTAGTAGAAACATTTAATCTTAACCTAATTGTTGTGTCTATTCCAGCATCTTGCACACAATCTTGAAATTTAACCATTCTTCCATCGGATCCTCTTACATACTTAACACTCT